GGTTGAGGCCCCATCCCTGGAGGTGTTCAAAAGCCGGGTTGATGTAGTGCTGGGAGGTCTGGTTTAGTGATGATACTCCTTGTTTGTTGTGTGGGTGTCTATTTTTGTCAAAGTGAGGTTGACGGTTGGACAAGATGATCTTTAAGGTCCCTTCCAACCTGGAAGATTCTGTGATTGTGTGATTCCTGGCAGAGCCATGCTGGAGCAGGCCCAGAACCGGCGGCTGCTGGTAGATTCCGACTCCGACGAAGAGCCTGCGAAATCACACACGAAATCTACAGCCAAAACAAAACCCACGGACATCTTGCAGGAGGTGAGTGGGGGCAGAGACCCTTCCACCCCCCCCTACCCCTTCCCCCAGCCCCACATCCTCGCTCCTGGGCTGCGTGTTGCCTGTTTTGTGCCTTTTCTGCTCAACCCCTGAGCCCTAATGCCTGTCACGCATGAGCAGCTTGCAAAGCCTGTGTCCCTGTGCACTGGGCTGAAAGGAGACAGGGATCAGTTGGTGATTTTAGAGCGTGGCTGTTGACAAAAGCCGGGGGGGAGCCGCCCCCGGCCTCGCTCGGGACGTGGCTTCCCTTTCAGCTTGAAAAGGACGGCTTTGCTGCTGCCTCGGTCGTACTTCAGGCACGATTTCAGCCTTCTGAAAAAATTACAGCAGTGAAACCACTGCCTGGGACGGCCTCTCCTCGGGTTTTTGTTTTGTCCGTGTTGGAGACGCGCGGAACAAAAGAGCTTTCAGTGCCCGGCTTGCTTGCAGGGGAGGGATTATCCCCACAGACAGGCCCCTGTGCTGCTGCTCTCTGATGTCGATCCCTGTCTGCGGGGACCTCTCTCTGCTTGGAGAAATCAAAGCTGCCGTGGTTTTAAGCAGGGCTGGGGTTAATCTGAGCGATGCTCCCTGGCCCAGCACTAATCCCGATGCCCGGGGGAGTTTGATTCAGCAGCAGGACCACCTGCAGGCACGCAGTCCTGGCTGGCAGGGCTTCTGCAGCCCCTTTTGCCACTCATCAGGCTCCTCAGTGTCCCCGTGGCTCTGCCAGGCTGGATCTAACTGTCACGGGCAGCGGGACATTTGTCCCCAAGGGCTGTTTTGCAGCCGTTTAGATCCATATCCCTGTTGTTTGTCTGGCTTGTGCCAGTCGCTGCAGGGGCAGGATGCCCCCCTTGGCTGCTCGAGCCATCCTCGTGTCCCTTGTGCTTTGTGCTGCTGGTTTTTTACCGCTTCTCCCTCATCCCTCCTCCTCCCTTCCAAGGCCAGAGCACCCTAACGCCCCTGCTCTGCTCTGCAGGACCCTCAGCCCCAGAGTAAGAAGCTGAAGACAGAGAGCTGGGAGCGGAGCGTGGGCAAATTGAACACCAAGTCCCAGCTGGCTGGGCTGGTCACAGTGAAGAAGCAGAAGCCAAGTCCCCCCCTGGCTAATGGGACAGAGAACCAAGGCACCACGGCCAAGACTGGTAAGTTCAAGAGGGACAGGGAACTACTAGAAAGAGTCCAGCGAAGGGCAACAAAGATGATTCAAGGATTGGAGCATCTCCCTTATGAGGAGAGACTGAGAGAGCTGGGACTCTTTAGTCTGGAGAAGAGAAGGCTGAGGGGAGACCTTATCAACGCCGACAAGTATCTCAAGGGAGGGTTGAAGGAGGAGGGAGCCAGACTCTTTTCAGTGGTTCCCAGTGAGAGGACGAGGGGCAACGGGCACAAGTTGGAACAGAAGAGGTTCCACTCAAATCTGAGGAGAAACTTCTTCACGGTGAGGGTGACAGAGCCCTGGAACAGGCTGCCCAGGGAGGGTGTGGAGTCCCCTTCCTTGGAGATTTTCAAGACCTGCAGTCAAGATGCAGTCCTGAGTAACATGCTCTAGCTCTAGGCAATCCTGCTTCAGCAGGGGAGTTGGACTAGATGATCTCTATGGTCCCTTCCAACTCTAAAATTCAGTGAAATAGCCCACGTGGGGATGGGGTGGCCTGAGCTGGGCCATCCAGGGGGGTTCTGGCAGCACCTCAGTGGCCTTTAGCTCCTTGCTGTGGGACAGATGGGGCCGTCACAGTGTAAGAGCAAGGGGTTGTCCCCGTTTGCAGGAGATCTCCTGATGGAGGAGAGGTTTCTTCCCAGCCCTTGGCCGTCAGCCAAGGCCATGGAGACAGACTGTCAGGGCCAGCAGCTTCCAAACAGCGTCTCGCTGCGCAGATACGGTGCTGGGAACCGGCACAACACCCAGATAGGAATGTAAAAGCAAGAAAATTGCTTTGTTTTGGAGCCTGATGATAAAACCTGCCAAATTGGAGGAATTTGAAACCTTTAAAGAAGCGGTGAAAACAAGGAGAAGGGCTTCCCAGCCCCTCGTCCTTCACTGCCCCAGGAAGCCAGAGGACCCATGCGTTTGGGGAGGAAGCCAATGAATTGATTGGTTCTGGGCTGATTGATCCTAAGCCTCTGGCTTAATTAGTCCTTCTGTCCTCGGGGGATCCCTGGGGAAGGACAGCTCTTGTCGTTGCCCCGTTTTTGATATGCTTTTCCCCAACCACCTGCTCCTGGCAGGGTCCGTTCAGCCAAATTATGCTGGAGGAGCTGCCCATCTTTCAAGGACTCGGAGCTCTCTGCTCTTGCAGCTGGCAGCTCGCCTGCTCAGAGCCCAAAAATCTGGCTCCTCAGCCAAATCTGTGGCTCCTGTGGCTGAAATCTCCCCAGGGGGGGCTGTGGGGGAGGAGAAGGGGGCGTTTTACAGACCTTGGGCCAATCTTGCTGCTTTCTCCTGTTGCTGAAAGGCAGGAGCAGGATCTTCTTGTCCACACAATTTAAATTTGTCCTCGGGGAGGTTGAGGTTTGGGGGGACAAGGTCCTGCTCAGACTCTGGCTCCGGCTGCCATGTCTCTGGTGATGAGGAGGCTTCTCTGGTGATGAGGAGGCTTCTCTTTCCGCATGGCTGGTTGCCCTGAGCCCTTGGGGTTTGCTGGCAACAGGGAGGAGGGCCCTACCTGATGGTTTCTACTCTCTTGCTCCCCTTCCAGGCTCGTTTCCAACAGCAACGGGCACCACGTCCTCTCTGGGCTTGTTGGGGGCGTATTCGGACAGCGAGGACAGCGCCAGTGACTGATGAGCCACCAAGAGCCAGCCCAGAGCAGGGACCAAGGGGGGCTGTCCCCCCTCCCTGCTGACACCAGCTGCTCTCCAAGAGCTGGCATCGGGGCCAGCGGGGGTTCCTAGGCCATCTGGAGCTCCAGCATCTTCACCTGCCCAGTCCCTCCTACGAAAGGGACGAGGCCCCAGTGGCCCTCACTGGCTACCACCACCCAGCAGACTGAGCCTGGAGGAGCTGGGCAACCAAATGGCTTCCTCAGAGGAGGGTATTGCAGCCAGTGGAGAGCCCTGATGCTGTCCTGGGCTGGCTGTCCCCAAACCCAGCTTCCAGAGCACGGTGTGGCCCAGCCCTGCACCCACAACACGTTTGGAAGCACCAGTGTGGGCTGGGACTGTAGTTTCCCCGTTCTGGTGGCACCCACTGCCCCCAAACCCGTGCTGGCCCTGGCTACGTCACTCACCGACCCCCCCAGGACAATAAAGGGACCTCGGGGCCTTCCTTCCCCCCCACCCTGCAGGGAGCATGGGGGAGGTGGGAGCTCAGCACCCCGTTTTACCCCCAGGAGGACCCACTGCCACCACTTTTCTGGTCCCACATGGCTCCTGACCCCCGCTGTGGGGCTCAGATCCCACCTTTGAGCCCAGAACCCCCCTTGTTTTGCTGTAAGAGGTGACACATCCCACAGCACAGACACGGGGGGGCTCGTTTAACCCCACGCTACGGGGACAGGGCTGTCCTGGCCGGGCTGCCACCACCCTCCATCCCCTGCCCGAGTCCTCCCGTGTCCCACCACCGTGGTGACAGACCCCTCCCCACCCTTGGGAGAGCAGTGGGGTTTGCTCCATCACCAGCAGCCGCCCGGTAATAAATTGGATGTGTTAAAACCAGTTGCCTCTTCGTCTTCTAGAGCATTAATTTGTCCACGGGCAGTGGTGGGGCTGGCAGGGGACATCCCCAAGGACCCCCACCCCCATGCTATGGGTCCCTGCACCCATCAGAAGGGCTGGCCCACCCTGGGGTGTCCCCCTGCCCCACGCGGGGCTCGGCGTGGGGGCTCCCCTCACCTACTGAGGCACCCACCTCTAATTGACGAGCGGCTTCTCGCTAATTAACCCACTCTCAGAGCCTCACGAAGGGCTCTCTGGTGTGGGCTG